TTCGTACATGTACGTGTACAGTATTTAAACTTTGTTAAGCTAGGTAATACTCTCGTACATGTACGCGTAAATTATCTACATTGTTCTCGCTATTTGGTACTCTCGTACATAAACAGAAGTTGGGTATGTTATATTATAACGATTTTGGAGTCTTACCATGTCGTTACAGTCTATGTTACCACGTACATTCATGCTCTATCTGAAGTCCGTGCATCTTGGCAATAGATTTGCAACATAGTTTCCATTGGAAGAAGCTCCGTTGAAAGGCTGACATATCCAAATCACACTACTCCTCCCTGGTTGCTTTCAACAATCCATCCAGTGTGCGAGGAAGATGGTTTCCTAGCACCAATTTCAACAGTACGATTACATAGAAATCCACAAGCGTTGCATCCGGTGTCTTGACCGGCATGTCTTCTCTTGGAAAAGCATAAATACACGTTTCATTCTCCCACTGCCTGAGGTATGCGACAATTTAACGGAAAATATGAATGGAAGCCCTATCTTGGTGAATCCATATCCTGTTTTCCTCATTTCTAGACGGATACCCTCCGTGGTTATGGTGCATACTGTTGCTTGTGGCACGTACGCGGCTTTTGCCTCTGACCTTTGTGTTCGCGGATTCTTACCTGTTACAAGACGCTGTACTTTGCTTACCATTTGGATGGGTCTTTTGAAGGTCTCTTTCCTGATGGTCCTGACGCCTCATGTTTATCCATAATCTTTGCTTTTCAATAGCGTTAAATGTAAGAAATATTCTCGTCTTGGAATATGTGAAATCATGATCTGAATACATCTTTATGATCTAAATGTATAAACATTTTGCATCGGAAAGAGCTGTTACATAACCTTCCCAAAAGCAATCAATATACATTTACATCACATAATCTACAAAACGACAACTTCAAAATGTAGTTTTGATATAAGCCGTTTCACCGCGACTTTATATCGTCTGTGTCATGTGACTTTCTGGTTTTCATATGTAAAATGTTTCTATTATAACGTACTAAAACTTTTGTACATGTATGTTATCTAAATTTTGTTGTGCTATGTATTATTTTCGTGCATGTACGTATATATTTTCAAAATTTAGTTGAGATATGTACTATTTTAGTTCATATATGCTAAGCATATTATATACACTATATATATATATATATATATATATATTGAAATTATCAGTGTCCCCAAATTGTTATATTTATGCGTGATTCAGTGGTGTAGGAAGGAGTTGCAAAGTGGGAGCACTTGGCTAGACATACATATTTTACTATGAGAGATTGTAATTTGTAAATATAGTACTTTAAAAATGGAGTTCTTACAAGAAACTGTTATTTTTTTCAGTAAAGGGTACCGCTTTTATACATGAAAATATTACAATCCGATCACCATATTTTAAGAAAATCACTCAAGCCGTTTATACTTTCTACAACGTTATATTCCAAAAAAGAAAGTAACCGAAACATTGCTATATTTGTACATACTTTTTACTTTGAATTTCGCATAAAATACTCGAGGGCTATCTACTTTAGCCGTCCCTAATTTAGAAGTGATAGACTAAATGGAGGCTAGCTAGTCAGCACCAACCACCGCCAACTCTTGGGCTATTCATTACCGTCCCCCGATGGAACAGCAGTAAGTCTACGGATTTACAGCGCTAAAATCCTCGGTGGACACAGCAGATAGACGGATGTGGCTTTGCTATAAACCCACAAGTCCCATACCGTTTAAACTCCATATCTCAGAATAATTGTATCATTCAATTCTTCCAATATATTTTAAGATAATTTATAAATATATATATTTATTTATTCTTTAGTGTATATTTTCATTTTAAATGAAAAAAAAAATCAAATAATGTATCTCGATACAAAAATGAAGCTGTAGATCAGTGCACATAATGATGCACTTTAAGGCAGTTCTGTTTTAACAATATGCCTAACCTATTCGCTTCGATAATATATATAATGTAAAATATAAATACTGGTACTCTAGTTGCCAGTATTAAATATTGTATACCGTTCACTTTACAAGTGAGTTACCTTTACCGTACACATATACTTGTTATGAGGGGAAAAATTATTTGTTGTCCGAAATAACCAGTCAATAACTGTTTTATTATAACCCCTCTTCTGTTTTCAGTTTTCTAAAATCAGTTTAATTAGCGTTGTCATATAGTATATTTAGTCTACATCTCTAGGCCTACATGTAACTCTTAAAGTTTAACATTTCATATTGATATCATTTTAAGAAACAATAATATATCAGTAAGTTTTAGAAATTGTTTAATTTCCGAAATATAATATCCCATCGTCATGTGATCATACTCATAAACGTATAAAGTATGTATCTGTCTAACTTCGGCACAAAATTTGCCTAGAATGCAGGCGAGATTTCTGACGTTGTTTTTAAATTAAGCCCAAATGAATCAAAGCGTTTTTTTTTCACTTTGATACAACAAATTATCTTCTGCAAACTTCTGCTACATAAACAACTGTGCAGCTCTTTATCTGTGAGCAACTGAAATTTTATGCTGAAAGTAACGTCCATATTCATTTTATGGGGTTGAGCCAACTGAATTAGTGTGTTTTCATTCTGTTGCAAAAAATTGTAGTACTACAAATTTCTGCTGCGATGTGATGGATGCATAGCAACGGCCTTAACAACCGGCAACATTGATACGATTTGTTGCCTGACTTTCAAAGCTACATTAAATATGTTATATATCACGTGGTGCGTTGTTGGCCAATTCATTCTAGGATGTGGAATAATGTTTGTGTGTGTGTATGTTATTTTAAAGAATGTTACATCGACTTCACTGTAGGCTTTAAAGACGATTTACCATTAATTTTACGGCAAGGAGTATACTTTTACTACATAACCTACTTATTACACCATGAAATATTCATGTGTTTAAGATTAAGATCTGTAACCGAGTTAAATGATACTTTAAATGTAGTAGTTTAATTGTACTTTAGATTTAGCAGTTCAGTAAAAGCCGATACATAGCCGGTTTATGATGTTTGCCAACAAGATTGATACACACAGTTTTCTTTTTTCATACAAATACGTTTTAATATACACACAACAATACAATTTACAATAACAATTATTACAACTAGTTATGACAAACAATGATTTATAAA